TTGACAAGTTAACCATATTTTATATCGTTTATGTTTAATAAACATAGTTTTCTAAAAGCGACGGAAGTTTTTCAATATATCCATATTATTGATAACCCCATTTGTCGACTTTTTTAAACTGATAAACCTAAATCTTTTTCCATTATTCTCCAGCGTAGATTTTTGAAAGTATCATATTTTTGCTTCAATCAATGGTTATAACATTCCCTGGTTTCCTATACGTGTAGCATAGGCATGGCTTTTTCTTTTTTATTTACCAACGTTAATTTCCCACAACAGTTTAGTTAGGAACCGTTTTAAGTTTGCAAACCCACTGTCACAGGGTAAAAGTGACATTTCCGAAAAACCCATAATAAATCATGCCTCAACAGACTTGGATGACGAATGAAGCTTGTTCGGCCAAAGGTAGTGATGTTTTTTAAATCTAATATATGCAGATCCTGCATCAAATTTAAATCAACCCTCCCCATACCTAGCCTTATTCATTGAAAACAATGAGTTATAGAAAATAACAAAGGCGAGTCACAATGAAAAGGGCTTAGCGTAACTACAAATACTTAAGCCACTTAGGCTTCGTTATTAGTTCGTAAAAGTTATTTCAAGAACGTAGGTAAGGGACATCCAAAATCTCGAAAACCATAATCCCGACGTGACAATTAATATTTAAAGATTAGTAATCACATTAACAATTATTGTCAGGCTTTAAATTTTTAATTGTAACGTTACGTGGAGATTTTGGATGTCGCGGTAGAATCGTTAGGGGGCACATAAGATTGCTAATCCGATAGTAAACCACATTTTCAAGATAATTAACATCACGCCTCTGGCGAGTTACCTTATCCCTATTTTACTCCAGCGGTGTACAGTTTACCCTGTAACACCACTTTTCAACTCTGCGCAAAACATATTGATCATGACTACTTTCAACTTCCGCACACACGATGTCGACGTATTTTAGCGAAATTCAACGAGTAAGACCCGTCTTACTCTTGGCTGTATTACTAGACTGGAGTATCGTTCAGGCACTCTACTAGCATAATACGGAAATGCCCACTTCGGTTACGTATCACTTCACAGACAATCACTTCATAGACATCTTAGTTCAAAGACAATTAATTTACAGACAAGGTTATTTTATAGATAATTAATTTATAGACTGGATTATTTTATAGACAGTCTACAGGTAATAAAATTATAGACAACTTATTTCAAAGACAATTTATTTTAAAGACAGTTTTGTATCAAAGATAGTTTATTTTAAAGACAATTTATTTCAAAAACAAATTTATTTTAAAGACAATTTATTTTAAAACAAATTTATTTAAAGACAATTATACTTTAAAGACAGCTTATATCAGAAAATTTTGTAGATACAAATCGATATATATATCAAATTTTATTGAAATTGAATTTTTTTTTTTGACAAATTAATCTTTTTGAAGCCAAAACTTTTATTTAAGTACTAAGCAGAGAAGTTTACAATGAAGTCTTCTTATATTAAAGAGTATATACTAGCCACATATACATTTTTGGTGTTTATTTTAAGTAGTTTATCTATATAGGTTTTATATTAGATATTATATCTGCAATCCAAACTACAGGTATCATATTGTATATTTAAATTCTTTGTACTGCAACTTATACCTGTATCATTAGAACATCTTCTGATATATTTGTTAGTCAAAGAAGTTACAGATTCTTTATCTTTTTTTTAGAACTACTAGTATAGTTAACTAATTTATCTTCAAAACATTGCTTGCTAGAGCTGTCCATTATCTACTTTTAACATATGGGGTCTTTCATATTAAAAAGGTCCATTTTGCAATATAAACAATTTTGAGATAATTGAGTTTAATCATTTGTTTTGATTTTCAGACTGATCTGGGATTAAGCAAATTTTACGATTTTGATTGGTTAAACGTAACAGGTGACTATCGGGTAATCTCGTGCTGTACTTGGCTTTAGACAGCTTTGTACAATTTTCTTTTATATTATCTCTATTTCTTATTATGCAAATCGCTTTTCATTTATAATTGAAAAATGTCAGTCATGTTAAAATTTACATGA